GTGATAGGCACACAAATCCCATTACTGCTAATGGGATTTGTGGGCGTATCTGTCGTACATTTCTTTGAAAATTCATTCCATTCCATTCACGCAGTACAGGCCTGGAGAAGAAAAATCACTGACTCAGTTTGGAAAGAGGTTTTTGTGTTTATTTCCCCAAAATCTCTTCTACATGTAGGCATACTGCAAATAATCACATGACTTCCTTTACTACTTTCTCAATGTTTTTATAGGTTCTAGAAACAGGAATCCAAAAGGAAGCAATATTACATTTTAGTGGAATCTGGACTTTAGTGCAATTGGACTGGGCTTTGTATCATTCATCCTTCAACAATAACTATGTTGATAGCCATTAATTCCACTCTTCTCCCATGTAGTGGCAGAAGTACAGGTGGATGGATAACATACAAAAAGAAAGGATTCCATTTTCCATTGCCTTTATCTAATCCTGCCCGATGCTGTGGAGGCCAAGTATCAGGCAGCAAGGATAAGGCTTTAAATCAATATTTACTAGTACAGGTTCCCATTAGCATGTTACGCCAAACCATGAATTCAGTGTGATTTAAAGTACATGCAACAAAGGTCCTGCAGAGTATGATGTTTACTCAGAACTAGAGCTGTTTGAATTAAATAGGACTTAACTTGCATAGGTTTGAACCCAGAATCTTGTAAAACCTAACTAGAAAACAACTGTTGCTTTCCTACTATAGCAGACAATACATTTTCAGTGTCTCATTTTTATTGTGGTGATGGATTTATCTGGAACCTTCCTAAAATTAGACTAAATCTATGAGTATCAATACCAAAGTGATTTGACCTGAATATTACTTTAAGTTATAGTCTCTAAGCTGTGTGGTTTGTGGCCCACAAGATATTTTGGCTTGCAACGCCTGTCAATTCTTATTATTGGCTGAGCTGACTAGGATTGATGGTAGTTGTAGGCTAAAAAACCTGGAGGGCCACAAGTTGTTCCAAAATTACGTTAAAACTATCAACAGTACCACCTAAGCTCACCAAACTTGCTAGTCCCATGAGTAAAACTGGGCATTAGCTGTTTATTAACTATGTGCATATTATGTTTGCTATCAACAGCATACAAAGGTTTTAGACTTGGACTTTAAGACCGAGAACATTTTCATGATCACTTCACAACCAGCCTTTGATGCAGGCAGGAGTCATCTTATGAGAAATGTTTGGGGGCATTAAGCGCTGTAGATCTCCTGGGTGTCTTCTAACTAATACCTGAGGCATCTGAACTGATGCATGGTCTGGGAATTGTCTTGATCTTCCAAGGCTGCCTATACTGCATGATGAGGTAAAAAATACCTCAGGGCTGTTAAGACGACATGAGGACTGGCAATGTATCAAAAGAGCATAGTGATGCTTGAAGGTGTCTGGGCCTTCAGGGGCAGCCAAAGGGCAGCGTCCAAATAGATGTGATTTGGATGTACAGGTCAGTAACAATGCACACCTTCCTGATGAGCTCCTGGCATTCTAAAGCTGGCTCTAACCACTCACGCCAGCCTTTTAAACAGCCAAAATGTGTGAGAAGAGACAGCATTTGTTCACATCTTTCTCAGTCCTAATATTTAACAATCTGAACTGACAGCTGTTCTATAGAAATATATTGAGCAGCTCTTCCACTGTTAGAAGCGTTACTTGCTTTGCTTGTAATCACCTGTAGTACCAATTATTTTTGATTTGCATCTATAAAGAAGACCCCTCTGTACCACTGAAATTCTATAAAATGAATGTCATTATACTTAAAAATGTATCTGTTGAGTATCTGCTCTTGGCAAACCTCATGTTTTTCATGTAAGATGAGATGTGGATAGTTTCTGCTCTATATTGACAATGATGATCCTTTAACATTTTTTCAGCTCTCGATAACACTCTCTCTCTCTCTAAACATAGTATGTAACTGGCTACTGTGTTTACACAAGCAGATGACTATGTCATTCCACATATTTCATCTAATACTTATCGATTGCCTCTTTATCCTTTACCAGACACTTTTGTGTGAGAACAGTTTAGTAATGCCCCACAAAGCTGCAGTGACCTCAGCATAAGAAGGATATACTCTTCTTTCCTGAGCATCCCCGTTTATTACTGCTCAGTGTTTCTACATTTGTGTGGCTTGCTAGCAACATCTGGACTGAGATTCAGTCTAGCTGTGCTCATGTTCCTTTGCTTTTCTCCCTATAAGCAGGCATAGCTGTTTGGTGAGAAGCTTACTAATATATTTGCCTACCCAATTGTGTCCTGCAGAACTAGCTCAGTAGTGTTTTAACACTTTGGTATTCATATGTATTTGAAATGCCTAATCACCCTAAGTAGAATCAGATATACTGTTGTCAGCCCTGGGTGTGTTTCTCCACACAGCTGCCCTGTTGGCCCTTTTTCTTGACCCCCAAGCCATTTGCAAGCCTCTCTTGAGAAGGCACTGTCATTGGTGATGAATTGTGCATTCCTTCTGAACTGTAGGCATAACTTCCATTGGGGACTAGGCCTACCAAATTCTTTTCACTTGTGACCTCTGCCATGTTTGAACTACAGGCTCCTGAGGATAAGAAACTACTGTTTTAAAGATTAACCCACTAGATCTTCTTCTCAGTCCTTCAACAACTACCCAGTCAGTTATGAGGTATAAATACAGATTCAATGAAATCATATCATATTATAGCATATCACGTTTTAATAACAAAGCAACTGGGAATGAATGGTTCTTAGGAAGCACAACGCCTCCAAGCTTTGTAGCTGATCTCACATAGTTCAACACACGTAACAGTGGATGTAGCTTTTCAGGTATATCCGAACAACTAAGAATGAGGCACAGTGCTACATATCTTGGTGTATTTGGGCATCAGTATTTAGTTTCCCAACAAGAAATGCTTGTTGGGATACCAAGTTTACATTACCACATCTTAAATGTAAATATCTCTTAAACATGCTGATACAGTGGTGGAGATTGTTTCTCCGGCCCACTCCTTCCCACTTCTACAACCTTCCAATTTACTCACCTGCAGTGTTGCATTTCTGGAGTCCTGTTGGAAAATGATGGACCAGATTATTTGATCAGGAAAAGAAGGACAATAAGAATGTTACCATCCACTGCACTGGGGATTTGAAATATATATGGGTGTGTTCTGTGTAATGACCTAACAACATTGAATAGTGATAAACAGAACAGCAGTACCTGTAATCTCTGAGCTGTTCTTTTCTAAACCAAACCTGGCATAAGACTCTCATAAAGGTTTCCACAAGGGCAGCTCAAAGGCAGATAGACATAATGCTGAAAAGCTGGCAGTCATTTTCCAGATATGAATCTTTGCATTATTACAATATCTCTGTCCTATCAATTACTGTCAGCCACCTTTTCTTCTGGCAGGGCTGCTAGGCATTTAAAAGCTGCATAACAGGCAGAAACCAACAGACAGAGTTTTGACTGACCAAGAAATGAACTGATAGCAACATTTTCATCTATAAGTTGCTGTTTTTCCTTATTTTGGTTTTACTGCTATTTTAAATGTTTCAAAATGTTGATAAGCCTGTATGTCAGATCACAAAGAGAGCTTCAGAAGCTATAGGTAAAAAATTGGATCAATTCCTGTTTAGGACCGTAGGTGAACTGGAAAAATCCCAAATTTTCTCGCATTTTAAACAACAGTGGTAAATTTCACAAAGCAAGCACTTGTCAGTCATTCTCATGGCAGGCAGCCTGATACAACTTCTCTGTCATTTGAGCTTTAATGGTTGGAAGGGTATTTGCATTTGTTAGCAACACAGATCATCTTGATACTTTATAGTATCGGTACACTGAGAAACACAGCTCCTGTTCAGATTTTGCAGCTGTAGACATCCTGCGAGGAATCCATTTATTTTGGTTATGTATGCATTCATTTAATTATACATACATACAATTTATCAGCCATTGTATCAAATATATGTGGTCAGTTTACAGAAATTAAAACAAACTAACAGAACAGCAACATGCAACATTGCTTTAAAACAGAGAAAAGTAATTTTGCAACAACACCAATTCATACATGAAGGCAATCCTAAGTATGAAGTGCGCTATGGGCTTCTAAGGGTAGTGACACTCTGTCAAGCTGGATTTCATTTCTGCATCTTAGATTGGAAATGGAGTAGTTCCCCAACCCTCCTGAGAATTGAAGATGGCATGATCAAGGTATTCGTGCCTATGGTGCATATGTTCATCTATGGGCCAGCTTGCATATAAATAGAGGGAACCTGTGTTTGACAGTGAATGTGCTCAGCACAAAGCAGCACACTCATTCACATTGGTAGTAAAACTACATTTTTAAGTGCAAGCATCTCAAACGACTGTGAGCCACAGACACCAATGCTGTTCTCATTCTGTGTCATCAACTCTTAAACATTTAGGCTTCGGCCTTGGCTACCACTAGTGCAGCTACTGAGCCTCTTTGGGAAAGATAAAAACATGAGACCAAACTTTTCACTGTAATAATTGAATAGATTATTAAACAAACTTCTCTCCACATGTTCAGATACTGAGAAAAGCTCTGAATTGGTTTGAGATGCATTGTTCATAGTACAGGTTTAGCAGTAGCATTCCTTTTTTATTCTAGTCACATTATTCAGCAGTAGGTCCACCTATTTCAGTGGGACTGTCTTCTAGGCTGGCATGCATTTACTTATAGCCCCTGTAATAGTAAAATCTTATTTTGAAGAATGTTTTTCTTAATACTTAATATAGAGACTTACAGTAAGCTATCGTAAGAAATCCACTTTTCAACTTCCTTTCTTACTAAATTATGTTTATTTGTAACCCTATCTTTGTTGTTGTCACTGTATAGCACTTCAACAGATCTATCTCAGGTATGTTTTTTTCTGAGAAAAGCTGGCCTTTCAAGATCTTCCTGAAGCTGCTATAATTTAAAATGGTTGTCTCTTCCCTCATGACTTTTGTAATATATGCATTGCATGTTTTATTTTTCCTGGCTTTCTGTTTCTTGCAGCAATGCATATGCTTGGGCTTAACTGGCAGCTACAACCGGCAGATGGACACACCTTTAACAATGGGATAAGGACTGGATTGCCAGGTTCTGATGATGTAGCAACAATGCCATCTGGAGGTAAAGGTGAGGAAACAGCTGCATCTTTTGCTCCTCAAAGTATCTAAACTGTAAAGCTACTATTTCACATATTCCAGGTTGCAGTTAATGTTTTAAAATAAATGCATTTCATTCAAACTTGTTGAAATCATTATTTGACTGAAATGCTTGTTAACTGTGAATGCTACATGCACATTTTGTGACATGGCAGCCACACTAATAGCAATGGCTTTAAGTCTCTATATCCTAGAATACCAACTTCGAATGAAGAGAAATTTCCCCAGAAGTGCAACATGTCTCTGACTGAAAGGCTGTTGCACTTCATGGTGAGATAGCTGAAATACCTAATGGTAAGGGGGGAAATGACATAACCAAGGAAATCTATGCCAACTTTTCTTAGAAGATACAATTTATGGCTTCCATTCCTCCTGGATCCAGAAAAATTGAATAAAAATACATTGGATACAATCTACATGCAGGTGCTAATATTTATCTCTATACCATGAAATGCTTCACTTTCTGATTTTCCATTATTAATAGCACATGATAAAACTAGGGCATTTTTCCTGGGCAGCTGGCAATCCTAAACTTGAACAGACAGTTCTCAAACACACAATCTCTCAAGGCAAGACTGTATCTTCCATGTACTCCCTTGTTTCTAATGTAGGAGGCTTGCTGCCTTTGTTTCAGCAGAGCCCTTGTGCCTTTATAACTGTATGACAGGCAGACATGCAACGAACAGCCCTTTTTTGTCACAAAAATGAAGAGCTGAGAGACAGTTCACTTGTTGAATTTCTGTCTTTCATACAGATTCTGGAATCACAAGAGCTTTGCTAAAAGAGGAATAGGATTATCACATTTAACTCCTACTATCAGTCTGAAAACTAGAGTGGGCTGAGTAGAAAGAAGTGGATGATTTAGGACCTCATAAATAGTAAAGAATGCAATGCCTTTACTAAGTTATGCTTCCAAAAGACTTTTTGAAGAATATTACATTTGAACCCATATGGCTCTTCTTTGCAATAGTGAACTTAAAAAGAAATCAAAACAACAAGGCATTGTAGGAGAACAAGTTTGAAAGGTCTGCTGCCTTTTCCTCTTCGTTCACTTAATTTAAGGCTAATATTGCCAGGCCAGCAGTTTTTAAGAAGGCCTCTGTCAGGCTTTTCACACACCAGCTGTTTCAGGTCTCGCCTCCCTTGGCTGGGTAGAATGACCTTTCATAATTGACAGAGCTCAGGATGAAGCCAGCAAGTGCTTAAAAATAATGGCCTTCCAAACTGAGAGATGTGCATATTAACCCTTCCCATATAAGCAATAAGATAGCCCCAGCTTAACACTGTCTTGTTACAATGTTGCAAGAGGAGGGAAACACCCCCTAGGCCTGCCTGCTGGTCGCTCCCACTTGGGATCGATGCTTGACAGGCCTTAATCTGCTGGTCCAAAGCTGCAAGTCAACCAAGGCTTGCAGCTGCAGAAGACAAATCTGGGCTCTCTCAGGGAAGATGAGGATGCTGGTTTCACCATCCTGCCAGCCCTTTCCCACTTGGCTAGCCTCTCCCAGCAACCCCATACCATCCTGTCAGTCTTTTCCTTCTGGCTGGCAGTGTTGCTGACTTGAGTGGGAGTCTTCCTGAGGGACGTTGCAGGAAATTCAGCTGCTGTCAGGAGGAAAGAAACTCCCTCAAGACCTATTGACTGACCACAAACGCCTAGACTGAATGGCTGGCAGGCTAATATCTGCTGAACCGAGGCAGTGATGCCCGCTGAAGGGTAAGATGCCAAAGCAGGCATCTAGGCAAGACTCTCTCTCATGGTTATGAAAACCATTTTTTGTCCTGGAGCCCAGCCCAGCCAGAATGCAGATAATTTTTCCCATCAGAGAATAACTTGGTGAAGGCTAGCAATCCTAACTGGTATCGGTCTTAACTAATTTCTCTCAAATCAGCTTGTGGATTTAAATGTTTATAAAGCTCAATAAATGTGCCATTCTGATGTTATCTGAGTATGGATCTCTTTAAGTGAGAATTGCTTTCTTAGCCATAGGCAATATATTTTGAGACTCATAATGGATATGTCAGTCTCACAGGAACTTGTGTGAGTTTGTACAGAGGTCTAACCGAAGCACAGCTTACTACAGTTGGATTAACTTTGGGTTGTTTAACCCACAAACTATCTCACGTGCCTGGGTTGGTTTGGACATCACAATAACATCCTGCATATGCTGCATTTGTAGGTTGTTTCTGGAAACTGGAAGTCGCTCACACACTGCACAGCTCTCTGCAATTCATGAGTTCATTAATATGAATGTTAATTCCTAATAACAGCTCTTGCAAGTTGCCCGCCCCTTTTGGAGACCCTGAAAGTGTTCAGTGCTTTGGAATTGATCCAATTTGATGAGTTCTGTTAGGGGTTGGGTGGTAGTCATGTTCCCTCATTAGAAAAATCCCAAAAGTAAAGCAAGGTGGCACTTCAGAATAGACGGATCCTTGCTGCATAATCTTTTGTGAACTAGAACACAATGCATGAATTCCTTATGGAACACAATAAAAGCAACATGATAGGACAGTCTCGGCCAGATGTTTTGGACTGTGACTCTCAGCATTCTTCACAATTGCCCATGTTGACAGAGGCTGAGGGGAACTGAAGACAAAAAGATCTAGAGGACAGCAGGTTGGGAAATGTAGGGTATAATGGTAGTTCTAGCTGGAAGGGCAGGGTAGCTGGCTTAATGGCTTGTTCTATGGCAAAGCATCCCCTCAGTGACAGCACTTTTCAAGCATAGTCTTTTTTGTTTATGCCTTAAAAGCTGTGCCACTCTCCTGCATTTGCAAAGGTTATTGTACCTTTTGAACAATACCGCATGTTGCTGATCTGCCAGGAGACTGTGCTCCACAACTACAGCCTTCCTCTGACTGCTACCTCTGAGGTAGGTGGCAACAAGAAAGAGGGCATCCCCAGTGGTGCCCCCCAATTATGGAACAAACTTCCCACTTAATGCCAACATTGCTACCTATTTGACATTCTGGTTACAACTGCTCTCTATGCCAAAGCATTTGACAGCTTTAAGCAGTACGGGAGGCAGGGGGGCGGGGGTGTTATACCAGCTGTTTTAACAGGTCTTGTAGAAACCTTTCTTGGTTATTAAAATTAGTTTTTTAAATTTGGCTTTCAGTTTTTGTAGTGAGATTTTACTGTTTTTAATTGCTGTTTGTATTTTGTTCTGTTTTATTGTTGTAAACCACCCAGAGAGCTTTGTCATTTGGACAATATAGAAAATATATTATAAATATATAATATATATTATACTATACAATATATTATAAAAATAATCTGAACAAGGTTGTAGTCTGACCTGAACTCAGTTTAATCGATAGCACTATCATCATTCAACCATCTGGTAAAGAATTAAGAGGCTTCCAAATATATGTCTGAGCAGGTCCCAAAATGAGGAAGGAAACTTTTTCAGACAATGCATTAAGGCTCCCACAGGGCAGGAACTGTTTCTTGGCAGTATTACTGAAAAGGCTATACAAGCCACAGTTAAATTCAGCAATGACTTCCTCAGTGAATCATACATCAGTATTTAGAATACCTTGCCAAGGAGGTGGACAAACAATCAATACTTTCTAGTTCTACATTTTCAATATCAAGATGTCTCAGTCTTTAAAAATATTCAAAATAGTACACATATTGGGCTTCTCTGCATGAGGCATTTATCACACAATCAAGATCCCTCTCTCATGGAAGCCTACAGAGTCTTTTCACAGTGCCATTGTTCTCCAGAGCCTCCCCCATGTTTTCCAGCCTTTTTTCCTAATCTTTTTTGTTTTGGAACAAAGAAAGCCTTTTATTAAATTTAAACTGGAAGAAAAGCTTTGTGACAAAAGGCACTCTAAGGTTGTTGCAAATCTACTGTATTATAGCTATGCCACAGTGCCTGCTTGTGGTCGCGTAATAGAATACATAGAAAAACAGAGGAATATAAATGCCGGCAAAGGACACACATTTCCTCCTGCAATGGAAATGTAAAAAGCCTCAGTAAAACAATGCCTTAAATCCCTCATTTAGAGGAGGTCCTTATCTTCCTATGGAGTGCACTGTACTATGTGCAGTTTGTTAAATCTCAGATTCCATACTGTATTGTAAAAATTAACATACCAACCAATTTTACCATCAGTACATCAGGTAAATAAACTTGCAAGTACAAGTAGTAAGCATGAAAGGCAACACGTTATCTTATTTTCCATCTTTTTAGTTTTCTGACATATGAAATAGAAACGCACAAATTGTCAAATCCCACAACTCCAGCCCCCTTATCCACCTTACTTTGATGTATTTAGGCACATGCACAGGCTGTTCTTTAACCAAGATGTACAATGTATTTGGGATACATAAGATTATTAAGTGCTATAGCATGTAAATTATACTTTAGGAGCATATTAAAATGCAAACAAGCAAAAAGTGGTAATGTGAATTCATGCAGGATTGAACTGGTAGTGATTTTGATTTCTGTGCACCTGGATTGTTAATAAACTCAATGTACTACTTTCAAGTCACCATAATGCTATATATAGCAATATTATTGTTGCTGTATAATTAACCTGTATCATTATTATATTACTTTTAGTTTGCAAAAGGTTTTAGGGTCCTTCATCCTTCTCACTTAAATAACGTGAGATACATCACCCTTGGTGATGATGGTGAATTGAAGCAGAAATCTAGCAAATTATCAAGGCTTCAGTTAATACATGAGTGAGCTGCACATATCAAGAAATGATTTCTAGCTGTGTCCCTCACCATGGACAGTAGCGGAGCACTGTCAGAGACTTCTGAAGCTTTCCTGTCAAACAGAGTAAACATCTTGGGATGGACCTGCAATATTCCCTATAGAGACTAGGGGAGAAAACCAGTCAGGATGTCTGACATAGGTATGGCAGCACAGTAAAAAGAACTGCTCCAAAAGATGGGCAGCATCACCCTGGCTTGTCTGTCTGAAAGGAAGTATTGAACTGGACACTGGAGGA